GCCTGTTCGGGCCCCCGGCGGTAAGTCAGAGAGGTAAACAGGGCCCCCTCGGTCTCCTGGAGCTGCTGCTGCTGCTGCTGCTGCTGACAGCTTGAAGCAGCTGGGTGGCTCGCGCAGCGATTTAGTGCCGTGAAGCTGCCGCTGCAGTTCACCCAGGTGCTGCTGCTGCTGCTGCTGCTGCTGGTGGAATTGTCGCAGCAGCAAGGGAGAAGCGAAAGCCAGGCCGGGAGATCTTGCTGTGGGGTGCAGGCTTCGTGCGTGGCAAGGCAGCGGCAGCAGGCTGTGCTGCTGCTGCTGCTGCTGCACGGCCAAAAGGAGCAGCAGAACGGCCAGGCACAGCAGCAGCCTGCTTCGTGGCTGCTGCTGCTGCAAGTGCCGCAGCGGATCCAGCTGCTGTTTCATTTTGCTGCAGTGTGGCTCAAGATGGGGAGGCTACACGGCAGCTCCCGCAGCAAATGCCGCAGCAGCTGCTCCAGCGACTGCTGCAGCAGTTGCTGCCCATGCAGCAGCGCCTGCTGCTGCCCCCGTATACTTTACATGCACATAAATCCTCCAGGTAAAACCTTTCAATAAACAAGTTAAGGAGCAAAGCAGTGAGCAGCAGCAGCAGCAGTAGCCGCTGCTGCTGCTGCTGGGATCGGCAGCGCTCGAGAACAGTGAGGTCCACTCGGCTGCAGCCGCAGCAGCCTGCAGCAGCAGCAAGCAACAGCAGCACCACCGCCCCTCTAAATATTAATTGAAAAATATTATGCATTTATCTTTTGTTCACATGCAGCAGCAGGTGAAGGGTGACAGCTCACGCGCAAGAGCAGCCGCAGCAGCAGCAGCAGCAGAATCTGCTCTTGCAGCGGGGCCCCACAGCAGCAGCAGACGGCGGCAACAACAGCAGTCTCCTTGAGGCTTTTATGTTGAAACAGGAAAAGAGGGGCCCATCCATGCAGGCTTAAATGGCAGCAAACTGCAGCAGCGGGAAGACAAGCCCAGCAGCAGCAGCAGCAGCAGTAAGGACGAAACCTGAGTAACAGCAGCGGCGCTCCAAAAGTCAGCTGCAGCAGCTGCATCTCCCCCTTCCGCTCTGCTGCATCACCAAGACAACAGCCGAGCAGCAGCAGCAGCAGCAGGCTGGGGGCATTGGCAGCAAGCAGCAACTGCAGCAGCAGAATCAGAAGAAGGCAGCAGCAGCAAAGTTCGGGCAGGACAGCAGCAAAAAATCATGAGCTGCCTAAGGCTTTCGGCGGAGCTTCTCCGCGCCTCTGTAGGGAGGCTCAGCCCAGCAGCACCAGCAGCAGCAGCAGCAGCAGCAAAAGCTGCGAGCACTCCTTGCCGACTGCTGTCCTCCGCAGCCGCAGGAGCTGCTGCCTCAGAATCAGCACCAGCAGCGGCGGCGTTGCCAGCAGCAGCAACTGCAGCAGCAGCAACAGCAACAGCAGCAGCAGACTCACGAAAGCCATGCAGCCACAAGGGAGGCCCCCCAACCAGGGGGCCCCTGCAGCAAATGGAAGGCCGATTTATGGCAGCAAACAAGCCGTGGCAAAAGGGGCAGCACCAAGTGGAGCAGCAGCAGCTGCAGCAGCAGCAGCAGGTGCAGCACTGGCGGCACCAGCAGCACCACTGGCAGCAGCAGCAGCAGCAGCAGCTGCAGCAGCTGGAGCAGCAGCAGCAGGGCCGTCGCGCCTATCTGCCTGCAGACGATCCTTGGTACAGTGCGCCTTCGAGCCCGCTGCCCCCTCCGCCGCAGCAGCAGCAACCGCAGCAGCAGCAACTGCAGCAGCAGCAGCAGCACTGGCGACCTGCAGCAGCAGCAGCAGCAGCAGCAGCAGAAAATAACCCAGGGGGCGCCGGCGCCGGCCTGCGGCCTATCGACTGGAGCCGCCGCTCTTTGCCTCCAATCTACCCCGTGTCACCTGCTGCCCCAGCAGCAGCAGCAGCAGCAGCAGCAGCAGGGCCCCGCTGCTGCGCGGACCCCTCCGCAGCAGCAGCAGCAGCAGCAGATCTTGCTGCACTGGGGGTGAAGCTGGAGGGGCAGCCTCCGCTGCCGCGGCTGGTGTCTTCTCTGTCTGACCCTGCGCTGCCGCTGCTGCTGCAGCAGGCGCTGCAGCTGCTGCAGCTAACTAAGCCTTCGCCAGTGCAGCAAATTGGCTGGCCTTGCTGCTTCTCAGGAAGAGATTTAATAGCCATTGCGCAGACAGGCAGCGGCAAAACTCTGGGATTTTTGCTGCCTGCGCTGATGCACGTTGTGCAGCAGCAGCAGCAGCAGCAGCTGCAGCAGCAGCAGCAGCCCACGGTGCTGGTGCTAGGGCCCACGAGGGAGCTGGTGGTGCAGATACACTCCGAGTGCCAGCGCCTCCTGCGAGCAGCAGCAGCAGCAGCAGCAGCCGAGAGAACTGCAGCAGCAGCAGCAGCAGCAGATTCAGCAGCAGCAGCAGCAGCAAAAGCGCTGCTGCAGCTGCGCAGCGTCTGCGTCTATGGAGGGGCCCCACGGCAGCAGCAAATAATCAATTTGAGAAAAGGCGCTGAAGTTGTTGTTGCCACTCCTGGCAGGTAAATAAATAAATAAATAAATAAATAAATAAATAAATAAATAATAAATAAATAGTAAATATTAATTGTAAATAATGATCAACAAATATATCTTTCGCCCAGCATCTCGTAGACAAGCTGCTGCCGCGGCCGCCGGTGCATTTTGTTGCTGCTGCTGCTGCTGCTGCTGCTGTTTCTATTGCTGCTGTGTCTGCTGCCTCCTCTGGCGCCGCCGCCAGGACTACGGCTCCTGCTGCTGCATCTGCTGCTGCTGCAGCTGCTGCTGCATCTGCTGCTGCTATTGCTGCTGCTGCATCTGCTGCTGCTATTGCTGCTGCTGCTGCTGTTTCTATTGCTGCTGTGTCTGCTGCCTCCTCTGGCGCCGCTGTCAGGACTACGCCTCCTGCTGCTGCATCTGCTGCTGCTGCAGCTGCTGCTGCAGCTCCTGCAGCTGCTGCTGCTGCCGCTGCTGCTGCATCTGCTGCTGCTATTGCTGCTGCTGCTGCTGCTGCAGCTTGGCGTTGCTGCTTTTGTGTGTTGGGGTGTACAGACTGCTGGACCTGCTGGATGCTGCTGCTGTGGATTTAAGTGGAGTGTCTTTTGTTGTTCTCGACGAAGCAGACAGAATGATGGACATGGGCTTCGAGCCCCAGGTCTGCTGCTGCTGCTGCTGCTGCTGCTGCTGCTGCTGATGCTACTGGTGCACTTGCTACTGCTGCTGCGCGTGCTGCTTCTTTTGCCGCGCGAGGTGCTGCTGCTGCTTTTGCTGCCTGAGCTGCTGCTGCTGCTGCTTTTGCTGCCCCGTGCTGCTGCTGCTCCCTCTGCTATTGCTGCTGCTGCTTTTGCTGCCGCTTTTGATACCGCTGCCTCTTTCACAGTAGCTGCTGCTGCGTTTGCTGCTGCTGCTTTCGCCTCCGATTCTTTTTTGCCGCAGCTACTGTTTCTGCTGCTGCTGCTACCGCTGCTGCTCCTGTTGCTCTTACTGCCGCTGTGCCTGCTGCTGCTGCCGCCGCTTTGTTGTTGCTGCTGCTGTTGCTGCTGCTGCTTTTGCTGCTGCTGCTTCTGCGCCTAGCTCTCCAGTGTGCTGCTGCCCTGTTGTGACAAATGCCTCATCGCTCTCCTTTGTCCGCTTTGCTGCCTGAAATTATTTATTTATTTATTTATTTATTTATTTATTTATTTATTTTATTATTTATTTACTAGGTTAGAAAAGTGCTGAGCCAGATCCGCCCTGACCGCCAAATGCTGCTGTGGTCCGCCACGTGGCCAGCGGAGGTTAGTGCACAAACTGCAGCAGCAGCAGCAGCAGCAGCTGCTGCTGCTGCAGTAGCAGCAGCAACAGGGACGGCGGCAACAGTGGCAGCTGCAGCGGTTCGGATCTGCTGCGACTACTGCTGCTGCTGCTGCTGCTGCCGATGTGGCTGCAGGACCCCGTGCTGCTGCTGCTGCTGCTGTTGCTGCAGTTGCTGCCATTGCATCATCTGCTGCTGCTATTTCTGCCTCTGCTACGTCGTCTGCTGCTGCTGCTTCTGCTGCTGCTGCTACTGCTGCTGCGTGAACTGGACCGGTGGAACTTCTGCTGCAGCAGCCATTGGTGCTGCTGCTGCCGCCATTCTCGCCGCTCCTGCTGCAGCTCCCGCTGCTGCTGCTGCTGCTGCTGCTGCAGGTGCAGGGCCTGGCTGGGGACTTTTGCGTCAAAGATGTCATTAAAGTTCAAATTGGAGATGGCGAGCTGCAGGCCAACCCCGACATACAGCAGGTGCTGCCATTTGCTGCTTTTAGCTAATTAATTAATTAATTGATTAACTACTGAATTGATTGATTAATTAATTAATTAATCACTTAATTAATTAATTAGAATGTCTGTGTTAATCCGCCTTCTAATGGTGTATTTGCTTCGGCCGCTGAGACCAAAGCAAGTGAGGGAGTGCAGCAGCAGCAAGGGCAGCAGCAGCAGCAGAGCAGCAGCTGCAGTAGCAACATCAGCACCAGTGTGATCAGCATCGTCAGCACAGCAGCAGCAGTAGCAAACGCAGCAGCAAAGCAGCTGAGTGTGTATGCAGCTGGTGGAGGTGCTGCCGTCTCGGGAGCTGCACCAACGCTGCCTCGAATTGCTGCAGCAGCACCAGCAGCAGCAGCAGCAGCAGGCGCAGCAGCAGCAGCAGGTAGGCAAAGCTCTTGTCTTCTGCGAAACCAAACGAGAAGCAGAACAAATAGCCAGAGAACTCAAGTACGCGGGCATTAAAGCAGCAGCGCTGCACGGGGACAAAAGCCAGAGAGAAAGGGACAGGTACGCGCAGCAGCA